AACAAACAAGCTTAAAATGTAATTCAACTATCATATAAACTAACAAACAAATCCCACTCACAAGAGCAAGCCTTGGGCGGCGAACACCGATCCTAACTGTGGATCGCAAACTATCGATCCCATCCCTTTCAGAAAGCCGGCGCAAGACGTCTCCAGGCATAAACCGCAATGTGCTGCCGAACCTTATCCCCTTCTTAACTGATCTCCTGACCATACTATCATCGCCCTGTCTGAACACCATCTCCGTGATCGAGCTTTGCAACACCATCGACGCCATCGCAAATGCAAAAACCGCGAAGAATATAATAAAATAGAATAAATACGCTCCCCGAAACGGAAAAATCGAGACCAAGCCCTTTCGATTGAAGCGGCCATGGTTCGGAAGCCGGTTACGGACCGACGGTGGATCTACGGTAAACGGTTTACTGCGGTCTCGGCTATGGCTAGGGTTTCGCTTGGACAGGAAGCGATCGCGGATCGACTGTAACACTTGATCGTTGCTATTTTTGCTGGCGCTGGTGTTGGTGCCGTTGTTGTTCCCGCCATTGCCATTGCTACTGTCATCGATCTCGTGAAGAGACGAGTTCCGGCCCATAAGATGTTGTTTTCCTGTAAATTTTCTGGAGAAAGTGATGGAAAATGGTCAGGTAGAAGATCCTGAGAGAGTTAACATTGGGATGGATAGACTGGTGTCTTGTCTTCTGTGTTGAGTTTGTCAACGCGAATGGAGTGAGGTGAGTTTTTTTATTTTTCTTCATTTTTTTTCTCCTCTGTAAATGATTTTTCTTTTTTTTCCCGAAATTATTTAACGTCGGTGAATTTGATAAAGAAATGCAAGAAAGTCCACGCGCCACCGCCAATTGTGGGCTCACATTTTAAATTAATAGTTTTTTTTTAAAACCATGCTAAAAAAATTAGAAAATGCAATTGTGGATTAAACAAAAATGTATTGAAAAAATTAAATAAAAATAATACAATTATAAAATGTCATGAAATATTATATTATTCTAAATTTAAAATTGTTATTATATATATAAGCAGAGTCTATATACCTGCACAGGCCCTTAAACTTTTAAAAATTTATATTTTGATCCATTAAATTTTACTTTTTATTATTTCAACTCTTATTTAGTGTATATGTTTTAATTATTTTTAACTTTTTTAACTAATTATTGTTTTTATGAGATGATAAGAAAGATTGGTAAAATATAAAGATAAAAAAATCAAAATAAAACAAGAGATTAATTTAATAAAAAAAAAGTGTTCAACACTAATTTTTTTATAAAATATTTATTCATTAATATTCTTTTATTTTCCTTTTCCTTTTTTTTAATATTATTTTCCTCAATAAATGGTAAATTTTATGCAAC